CCCTGCACTCTCTCCTAGGTCACTTGGGGTGAGCTCACTGTAGTATTACTTCACTCATCTTTATTGTTCTTCCAGGGAATGCTTGGTGAGCAGCGATTATTGAAACTCAACATGAGGTTACGCAGTAATGAGTCCATGTATAAACATCAGCGGCAGTCAGCGTCAAAACAATAACAGACGTACGAGGGCCGGCTGGCCGCAAATGTAGCTTACTATACTCACATCAGGAAACTTCGTCAACCTGTTAATGTTCGAGAAAAAAACAGAATAAAACAGTTACCGTAATTTGATCCAGAAATAGGTAAAAGGTGGCCTAAAAATGACAACGTACCAAAAGAGCTAAAAGTTCAATAAAGACTGGAGAAAACTGGACCAGAATTAGCTCAAAACTAACAAAGTAAATCAGGTCCTGGTTAGCTAACCAAAATAGACCAGATATTTCGACACATTGAAAATAACATATTACTTAGTTAGCTATATATTTGTGCACATGTGGCCACACATAACAGAACACTACATTGAAGAAATGGATAAAACTCCAGTCACCATCTCATAAACCCAGAATCATCAGTGCCGTCGAGGTCAGCAGCACATTTTTCCCTTTTGAGTTTGCTGCCAAAAGACCTCAGCCTTCTACGTCCATTAGAGGGATTGGCTCCGCATTTTATAAGCTGAGAGCTGTGAACGGACGTGGACCTGATGTCTCGATGACAGCCTGTGTGTTTCTGACTGTGTGGGTGTGTGAGATCACGAATGACCTTTAAATCCAGTCTACATTACGGACAACAGACGAAGCAGATAAAACAACATTGGTTCTGCTGCTTAAAAGGCTGAGAGAGCTGAGCCTTTACCCACAACAATCACCTCGATAAAAATGTCATTGGGCAATAGTAACTTGGTGAGATAAAAAAAATAAATCCAAAAATACTAAAGACATGCCTATAATTCTAACTAACCAAAGGATAATGCAAAGTTTTCTATAGGAAAGGAAGGCTTACAAATTTGCCAAAAATGGTATAAAAAATAGAATAAATTGTTACATTAGCCAAACAGCAAAAGCAAAACCAAATAACAACAAATTAGAAATAGCATGACTAAAGTTAAACAGAGGAACACAAATCAGTGTAAAAGCTAATTTTGCCAAAATAATTCCACAATTCCACAACACAGCTAGCCATTAGCCAAAACACAACATATAAGGTAATCAAAGTGAGCCAAGAAATAACTGAAAAATCAGCTAAGATAACGTTTAAGGGGGAGACAAAACTATGTAGAATCGATCAAATCTAGCCACAAAACAGATTATAAAACACATGGTCTGACAAAGCTAAAAATAAATAAATAAATAAAAAACTCAACTCTTAAATAGTCAACTCTTAGCCACAATGTGGTCAGCCATAACTGCAGCTAATAAAAGAATTGTATTTTTGAAAGGTCTTAAAGAGGAAACAGCCAATGTTTGCTAAAATAAATAAATATATTTTGACCTTTGGTTCGGGAGTGAGTTTGAATGGCAGTTATTTACTCATTTATTTATGTAACAGACAACGGACCTAACCCTTCACCAATCACATCTCCGCCCCTCTGCACTGACTCCACACAGATCTGCACCTGAAGCCCACATGACCACTCCCTTCCTGCTTCTTTCCACACTGACATCAAGCATGTGATCAGAGTGTGTGATCCACAGACAGATGCACTGAGGAAATCAAGAAGAAAAAAAACTGTGTGAAATGTGAAGCTCTTCCAGATAATAATGTGAGTGAGTCAGCACTGGGCTGATGTGTATTACTGAGTCTGTGCACCTTGATGTTCTCATGATAAAGGCGTCACCATGGTGATGCCATGCAGCCAGCAGCCAGACCTATAGACTAGTGTGAGTCATCAACCAAGTACAATCAGCATCAACGTCCCCTCCCATCACACCGGTTATCTTTTTAACCGATTTCTTAACTCTAATGGTAAGACAATAGTGTCACTTCATCAATTCTGGACACAGAGAGGTGATGGAGTGTGTGTTGACACACTGGGCAGTGGTCTCCTCTCTTAATCCACGCTGTCTGAGGAGCCGCGCCCTTCCCTCAGTACGTCTGTGCGCCACCGTCGCTCCCCGGTTAACAAAAGGCGTCTGTGGCACCCAGCAACGCAACAGTGTCGTGTAAAGTCAGCCGTATTCAGCACCCTAACTCGCCAGTCTCCAAAATAAAGTAACACTTAATTATGTTTTCAAATGTATCCCGGAACACAAAATTGTTTTCCCCCCATATGTGGCACGTCTCGTTATGTTTGAGCTTGTACATTTATTTGATTTTATCTTTCCATTTCATTAACATTACGGAAACTGTGACTTTCCGGCTTTTATTCTGAAATAATTAAACCAAGCTCTTATTTCCGGTGCCCGGTTTTTTGCTCAGCTTGACTGTTTCACGCTTCCGTGGCGCACTTCACACACACAGGTTGGAGTGCAGTCAGGGTGGAAACAGCATCCCACGCGTTTACACGTGCCCCTCCACCCCCAGATACCATTTTCAAAACACATGTTCGACCTAAAGCGTAACGAATCCACTTCTTTCAGTCAGTCTGGGTCAGTGAGCACTGACACTTGTCTTTTGGGTTTGTGCGCACCATGTGAATACGCGGTGGTGACAAGTGGAGGGGGCGACGCCTGCTCCTCCTGCTGCTGCTGCTGCTGCTGCTGCTGCTGCTGCTGCTGCTGCTGCTGCTGCTGCTGCTGCTGCTGCTGCTGCTGCTGCTGCTGCTGCTGCTGCTGCTGCTGCTGCTGCTGCTGCTGCTGCTGCTGCTGCTGCTGCTGCTGCTGCTGCTGCTGCTGCTGCTGCTGCTGCTGCTGCTGCTGCTGCTGCTGCTGCTGCTGCTGCTGCTGCTGCTGCTGCTGCTGCTGCTGCTGCTGCTGCTGCTGCTGCTGCTGCTGCTGCTGCTGCTGCTGCTGCTGCTGCTGCTGCTGCTGCTGCTGCTGCTGCTGCTGCTGCTGCTGCTGCTGCTGCTGCTGCTGCTGCTGCTGCTGCTTTCATTGTCAACTTGTGGCACAGTCACACCTCAAACGCACATACAGACACAAACGCAACCAAGTATGTTAATTTTGGCTATTTTTGGCACTCCTTCCCTGCTTTTGCGCACAAGTGAATGGATGAATGAGAGGCTATGACCCTGTAAAAAGCAGCTTTAAGGCAGTGTTATCTCATGACACGGCACCATAGCAGGCTGACATGAACAAAAACATGACAGTTTGTGACAATGTGCAGCTGCGGTGCCACTGTCTGAGCAGCAGCAGCAGCAGCAGCAGCAGCAGCAGCAGAGGAGCCGACACGCCCATATCCAGATGTACGGTCTCAGGACCAAAAACCACAGCAAAGATGTGATATGACAGAGTTGTAATAAACTGATGTAAATGTGAAGAAAATGAAAAAAGGGTGTCTGGTTTTTCTTACTTTTCTGTCTGTCACTTCTTCTCCCACTGCCTCCACCACCCCGGAGCACTCCATCCCCGGGGTGACCGGCGGGGACGGCAGCCGGTCGTACAGCCCCTGCCTGGCCATCAGGTCAGCGAAGTTGAGCCCGCACGCCTTGACCCGGACCAGGACTTCTCCAGCCTTGAGCGCCGGCTTGCCTTTCTTCACCTGCAGCTTGACTTTGTCATAGCCTCCGTACCCTGTGAGAACCAGAGCGCGGTAGGTGAACGCCTCCTCTTCGGGGACCTTCTCCGTGGTCGCCTCGGCCTCGGCGGCTGCGGCGGCGGG